GTGCGCATCAACGGCAGGTTTTGCACGTGGAAGTGTTTCTTTCCAATCGATTATATCAAAACCAAAATACAATACAGTAGTATTCGGCCCGGAGGAAACTCGCTTAACATTTCTGAGATGAGCAGTCTCCTAGAGCAGCTTAAAACTGAAGTGAAACCTGTTTCTTGACAGCGACCAACTATTACAAGTTTTGAATGGAGCTCTATTGTGCGTTTCCATCCATAACATTTTATAAGCTACTTTCCATGCGTACTTCCCTAAGGGTACTCTGTGTGTAGCGTGAACCCTTCATTAGTTAAAGCTCCTTGTGTGGCCTAACCTTTGCTGGCATTCATTTGAAGGCAGAGGAGCGGTTGAAGCAGATAACCCGACTTCTCAGCCGTTGCTTTGCTACCTGACCCATTATACAGCGAGGCAGCTATGATCTGGCATGCCCTCCGCGGGTATAAATCCTACTACAGTCCATGGGGCGCTTATGTGTGAGGGGATTGAAAAGCTTAATTAAAAGGGATCTTTTCTTTTTCACCTTATTAAAAAAAAGAGTGAATGCCATTTCCGTATGGGTACAGCAGAGAGCTGCAAATCATTCACAGCACTCCTCAGAGCTCGACGGACTGCTTGGCTGTTGAGACCTGCTTTACGAAGGATGATTAATGTCCCGAGAAAAGTTACAGAGCCCAGTTAAAGCTTGCTCCTACTGCTGATCAAGAAACAGGTTTGACTGTCTAGGGACGCCGGCAGTGTGACCGAACAAAAGGAGGAGGTTTGCTGGGTAGGAAGATCCACCCCTGCAGATACCAGATCTGCTCCTGGAACCAAAAGAGCAAGAAATCTGGAAATACTCCTGGCTTCTTGCAAAGCAGGAGGAAGTCTGGGTTACTGCAAGTAACACTGTTGTAGGCCAGAGGAGAGTTGGGCCCACTCTTGGCTATATGGCTCAGTATCTCTAGGAAGAAAAGTGTGTAATCTCACGCCTGTAGCTGAGAGCAGGTCCCATTTAGTCACCGTACGTATCAACACACTGATGCCCAGGCAGGCAGGCAGGTCTTTAAACGAGCAACGTTAGCAAGCACCTCGTGGGGGGGGGGGGG